TGTGTGTGTGTGTGTGTCTGTGTGTGTGTGTCTGTGTGTGTGTGTGTGTGTAATTTAGGGGGAGGAGTAGGTGTTTCCCCCATAAAAATGAAGCAGTAATTTATTAAGTTTTCATAATGATATGTGGCCACAACAGTATCATAAAACATCTGTGGGAATGATGACCAAGAACATAATTAAACAAAGATTCTTCAAATTACTGTGTATTAACATAAAATAAATCCTTTTTTATTTTTATTTTTTTATTTTTATTTTTTTGTGGTACGCGGGCCTCTCACTGTTGTGGCCTCCCCCTTTTGTGGAGCACAGGCTCCGGACACGCAGGCTCAGCGGCCATGGCTCACGGGCCCAGCCGCTCTGCGGTGTGTGGGATCTTCCCGGACCGAGGTACGAACCCGTGTCCCCTGCATCAGCAGGCAGACTCTCAACCACTGCGCCACCAGGGAAGCCCAATCCATTTTTTTTTTTTAACATCTTTATTGGGGTATAATTGCTTTACAATGGTGTGTTACTTTCTGCTTTATAACAAAGTGAATCAGTTATACATATACATATGTTCCCATATGTCTTCCCTCTTGCGTCTCCCTCCCTCCCACTCTCCCTCTCCCACCCCTCCAGGCTGTCACAAAGCACCAAGCTAATATCCCTGTGCCATGAGGCTGCTTCCCACTAGCTATCTACCTTACTACGTCTGTTAGTGTGTATATGTCCATGACTCTCTCTTGCCCTGTCAAAGCTCACCCTTCCCCCTCCCCATATCCTCAAGTCCGCTCTCCAGTAGGTCTGCGTCTTTATTCCTGTCTTACCCCTAGGTTCTTCATGACATTTTTTTTTTCTTAAATTCCATATATATGTGTTAGCATACGGTATTTGTCTTTTTCTTTCTGACTTACTTCACTCTGTATGACAGACTCTAGGTCTATCCATCTCATTACAAATAGCTCAATTTCCTTTCTTTTTAAGGCTGAGTAATATTCCATTGTATATATGCGCCACATCTTCTTTATCCATTCATCCGATGATGGGCACTTAGGTTGTTTCCATCTCCGGGCTATTGTAAATAGAGCTGCAATGAACATTTTGGTACATGACTCTTTTTGAATTTTGGTTTTTTTAAATGAAGCAAAATAACTACTGAATTATTTCACTCTGCTTAAGGGAAAAACTGATCAGAAGTAAAGTCATTCAATTTATTTGCTATTGTATATATATCACTGAAGTGGGACACTGTTAGCTGCTATCAAGGGTGAGTTCTCTAAACATCAGAGTTGCCTATTTACAATCTACCGTGGCTTTCATTTTTCAGACGTTTCTATTTATAATGCCAGCAGTACAGTACTTTTTTTCTTCTGCCAATGGAGTTAAGAAGATAAAGCAAATGAATTTAGATACTTACAAAATAATGTAATCAATTCAATTTCTTTGGCAGCACAGCTAATTCCTATTGTTTAATTTTAACTTTATATTAGCACAAAGTACTGAGGATTAAATCAGTGTTTCTACTTACATGGCTCCAAAATACATTATAATAACTATCAAATAATTGATATAGATATGCTATGGCTTCGGGGATAATTTCAGTAATCTGTATAACTAAAATTTAAATTACCATTCAAATGATGATGAATTATTAATAAACTATGAAGTTTTACATGTGGCCAGAAATGTAAATTATATAAGACTTCGATAAATGTATTATCTTGAAAAAGCAGTTATGGAAAATAGCCTCATCAACTTAAGTAAGATGAAGAGAAGCTGGAGAAAGTCCAGGAACAAGTAATATAAATTACTAAATGACTGGGAAATGACTTAACAAAGAAAGCCTAAAATAATGTGGGTTAGTAGGGAACAGACTACTGGGGTGGAATTAATAACAGTCTTTATTCAACTAGATAAATACTATACACATAGACCTTCAGTACTCTGCCCATTGAGAAAAGGATCTAAGAAGGTAAACGTTAAGTAGCAACTTTAAGAAGGGCTATGTTTAATACCAAGAAAAGTTTCCTTTTCAGTTTCAAGACTTTAGAGCTTAATTACAAAGATGGCTATAAAATCCATTTTCTCCGAAAATGTTTGGCCACAATAGAAATTACCAAAGGTAGTCATTCCTCTAACACATATGTAGCATTAGGTAGCAAATGTTGTGTACCCCATGGCCATACATACTCACCCTTACCACTTCAACATACACTGGTCTAGCTTTACACTACAGCATCTGAGAGATTTATCACACCCTTAGCACCCTCTTTGCCCACCTGCATTTCAGCCAGAAATGTCAGGAAATTAACCCCCCACCTGTGAGTGGCCAATGACTGACAGGAGTCTATATAAAAACCCTAGGCTTCCTTTGCCCTCAGGTGAAATAACTCTGAGATGAGGCATAACACTGGCTCCCAGACTGCCCCAATGTGATCCATCTCCGATTAGCTACAGTTGTAACTTGTATAGTAATATAATCTCTGTTAGATAAAATCCCTTCCCTGTCTCACTTTCCCAATAACCTATTGGCATTTCCTGGGATCATCCCCCAAATAAACTACTTGCACTGAAACCTTCATATCCAAGTTTGCTTTTTAACTACCTACACTAAGACAACACACATGCCATTTCATTGTACCACCTGTCTTTTCATATACTTAACAGTTTCTTTAAATTCCCCAATTATAAAATTTCTTGAAAACCTTTTATAACACAAGAACTAGAAAACTAATACCTTCCAACTTTCATTATTACAATACACTAAAAATAAATGATATCAAAACAGCTATTTAATACTAGCCAGCTATTGCTGCTTATTATCTCTGAGTCTGAATCGTGCTTTTTTTTTAAGTGTGTACATGGGAGTGGGGGAAGATGAACAAATATTTGTGAGGTATTACAGATATGCTGCACCAAATTGACCATGTTTATTACTTCGAGTGACAGAGAATGGAAGAAGGAATAATTTCCTCACTCTGTGACTCAATGTTTTCTTAAATCTCTTTCCCATAACCACTTGAAGTCCATCTTATCATCTTGGACCATTTAAAATCACTTCACATCCCAATGGAATATACATTCCACACTTTAGAAAATATTACACTACAGAATAGATAAACCTGAGAAAGCTAATTCACAGTCTTAACTCAGAAAAAAATTAATAGAGATCTCCCAAGATTTCTTTGACCTCTATATACTTTCAGAAACTATTAAACAGAGAGTTAGGAATTCTAGTCTTAATTTTTTGTGTGGCTGTGGCCAAGTCAATTCATTTTTCTGGACCTCAGTTTCCTCAACCTTAAAATAAAAAAGTCAAATAGGTCCACGTTTTCTCTTTTCTGTTCTCTTCACCACTTGAGTAACAAAAGGAGTGAGCAAAGGTGAAGCTGTAGGTTTCTTAATCCCATTCCTTCAAAGCAGTTCTGGGAAGATCAGGAGGAGACAGGAGAGAGAAAGAGAGGGAGGAGTAGGTGAAGAGGAAAGAAGCAGAGGGAGGGGGAGGAGAAAGACTAGGAGGAGAGAAAGAAACAGAGAGAGGAGAAAGAAAGAAAGGAAGAGAAAGAAAGGAAACGGACTTTTAAAAATACAGGTACCACCTTCCACTTATTAGAATGGCTACTATTGAAAAGAAAAAGAAGATAACAAGTGCTGATGAGGATGTGGAGAAACTGGAACCTTTGTGTGCTGTTGGTGGGAATGTAAAATTGTGCAGCCGGTGTGGAAAAGAGTATGGCAGTTCCTCAAAAAAGTTAAAAATAGGATATACCATACGACCCAGCAATTTCATTCCTGGGTATATACCCAAAAGGAACTGAAAGCAGAGTCTCAGAGAAACACTTGTATCCTCATGTTCACAGCAGCACTATTCACAACAGGCAAAAGCTGAAAGCAACTCAAGTGTCTCAACAGATGAATGGATCCACAAAATGTGTATACATACAATGGAATATTAGCTTTAAAAAGGAAGGAATTCTGACACATGCTACATCATAGATGAACCTTGAGGACATTATGCTAAGTGACTAAGTGAAATAAGCCAACCACAAAAAGGCAAATAGTATATGATTCCACTTACATGAGGTGCCTAGAGTCATCAAATTCATAGAGACAGAAAGTAGAATAGAGGTTACCAGGGGAAATGGGGAGTTGCTGTTTAACGGGTATAGAGTTTCAGTTTTGCAAGATGAAAAGAGTTCTTGAGGCTGGTTGCACAGCAATGTGAATCTACTTAACATGATTGAACTGTACCCTTAAAATGGTTATGATGGTAAATTTTACGTTACATTTATTTTATCATGAATTAAATTTTTAAAAAATACAGGTTACCATGGGACTATATGATATTTAAGATCTCTTTCAGCTCCACAGCCTTTGAATTAGCATTAACAACAATTACGTAATTTATCATGGTCATGATACAAGGTTCACGAACAAAATTAAAACAAAAAAGTTATTTATCCCATATATATTATCCACAATATTTGCAGTATGTGTATTATAACCATTAACCTCTATGATCCAAGCAATGAGCTTCAGTGACTAATACTTATGATCCAAGCAATGAGCTTCGGTTACTAATACTTATTCATGCTCTCTACAGAGAGTCACTAAAATATTACCTAAATGTTAAGAAATCTTATGGCCAAATAGAAAGTTCTGCAAATTTAAGGTTACTATTAATCTTTCTTCAAAACTGTCACCTCCACTTTGAATGCCATTAAATCCCAGTCAGATTGAAAGGCAGTTTCTTCTGTGCTCGCACAGAGTAACGTTAGTACACTCTCATGGTCAATCCTGTGTCAGGATGAACTGAACACCACTGCTGTTCTACCTTGATTCTGAGTCCCAGTGAGTAAGACCTCACCACGCAGTAGCCTACCGATCTTGTCTAGCTGTGTCCATAGCACACTGCAACCACACCGTACTTATTAGAATTAGCACACCATTTACTCATAAGTTCTCATGTTTCTTAACGTTTCTTAATACAAGCTGACAAGAAGATATCTAAAATTAAATAAGTGCTCGCCTTGGCAGCACATATACTAAAAATTGGAATGATACGGAGATTAGCATGGCCCCTGCACAAGGATGACACGCAAATTCGTGAAGCGTCCCATATTTTTGAGAAATGGAAACGAAAACAAAAATAAACAAATGGGACCTAATGAAACTTTAAAGCTTTTGCACAGCAAAGGAAACCATAAACAAGACAAAAAGACAACCCTCAGAATGGGAGAAAATATTTGCAAATGAAGCAACTGACAAAGGATTAATCTCCAAAATATACAAGCAGCTCTCACAGCTCAATATCAAAAAAAACCAAATAACCCAATCCAAAAATAGGCAGAAGACCTAAATACACATTTCTCCAAAGAAGATATACAGATTGCCAACAAACACGTGAAAGAATGCTCAACATCACCAATGATTAGAGAAATGCAAATCAAAACTACAATGAGATATCATCTCACACCAGTCAGAATAGCCATCATCAAAAAATCTACAAACAATAAATGCTGGAGAGGGTGTGGAGAAAAGGGAACCCTCTTGCACTGTTGGTGGGAATGTAAATTGATACAGCCACTATGGAGAACAGTATGGAGGTTCCTTAAAAAACTACAAATAGAACTACCATATGACCCAGCAATCCCACTGCTGGGCATATACCCTGAGAAAACCATAATTCAAAAAGAGACATGTACCACAATGTTTATTGCAGAACTATTTACAATAGCCAGGACATGGAAGCAACCTAAGTGTCCATTGACAGATAAGTGGATAAAGAAGATGTGGCACATATATACAATGGAATATTACTCAGCCATAAAAAGAAACAGAATTAAGTTATTTGTAGTGAGGTTGAAGGACCTAGAGTCTGTCATACAGAGTGAAGTAAGCCAGAAAAACAAATACCATACGCTAACACACATATATGGAACCTTAAAAAAAAAAAAGGTTCTGAAGAACCTAGGGGCAGGACAATAATAAAGACACAGATGTAGAGAATGGACTTGAGGACACGGGGAGGGGGAAGGGTAAGGTGGGACAAAGTGAGAGAGTGGCATTGACATATATACACTGCCAAACGTAAAACAGATAGCTAGTGGGAAGCAGCTGCATAGCACAGGGAGATCAGCTCCCTGATCTCCCACCTAGAGGGTTGGGATAGGGAGGGTGGGAGGGAGATGCAAGAGGGAGGGGATATGGGGATATATGTATACGTACAGCTGATTCACTTTGTTACACAGCAGAAACTAACACAACATTGTAAAGCAATTATACTCCAATAAAGATGTTAAAAAATAAATAAAATTAAATAAAATAAAAGATCTCCTGTCTTTTTTTTTTTTTTTTTTTTTTGCGGTACGCGGGCCTCTCACTGTTGTGGCCTCTCCCGTTGCCAAGCACAGGCTCCGGACGCGCAGGCTCAGCAGTCATGGCTCACGGGCCCAGCCGCTCCGTGGCACGTGGGATCTTCCTGGACTGGGGCATGAACCCGTGTCCCCTGCATCGGCAGGCACACTCTCAACCACTGCGCCACCAGGGAAGTCCCTCCTGTCTTTTTATTGTATAATTTTATTTATTTCTTACTGAAAACATAAACCTGACCTAAGTTAATTTATCATTTAAAAATTTTCTCTTTTATTCTCCTTGGTTTTAACATAAAATTTAAAAATATTACTTGAACTCATATAAGTGTACTTTAAAAATCTATTTAATTAGACACAAATTACTGATTTAAGTAAAAGTATAAATGGAAGAAAATTAAACTATCAGTGTTACTAAATTATTAAGATATATATTGTTGGCCAATAAGCACAAAAGATGCTTAACATCATTAGTTATCAGAGAAATGCAAACTAAAACTACAATGAAATACCACTACATAAATCACTAGCATGGTTAAAATTAAAGCCACTTATAATTCCAAGTTCGGTAAGGATGTCAAGCAAATAGAACTCTCATACAGTGCTGGAAGGAATATAAAATGATATAACCACTTTGGAAAGTAGTATGGCAGTCGCTACAAGGTTAAACAAGCACAATACCATATGACCCAGCAAGTCCACCCCTAGGTATTTACGTAAGAAAAATAAAAACATATGTTCACACAAAGACTTAACATATGAATGTTCAAAACTGAAAACAAGCCAAATGTTCAGCAATAGGTGAGTGGATAAATAAACTCTGATATATCGTTAAAATGGAATGTTATTCACAAATGAAAAGGAATGAACCACTGAGAGACATAAAATCATGGATGAACCTCCAAATCACTATGTTGAGTAAAAGAAGCCCAACACAAAAGACTATATGTTGCATGATTTTATTTATTTGAAACTCTAGAAAAGACAAAACAAGCTAAATGATAGCAAATCAGTATTTTCCTGGAGCTGGAAATGGGGGAGGGGAGGAACTGAGAGCAAAGAGGCATGAAGAAATTATTTGGGGTGATGAAAATGTTCAATATTTTGATTGTGATGGTGTTTATACAAGTATACACATTTGCCAAAACTCATTAAACGGTACACTTAAATGGATATTATTGTATGTAAATAGCACCTTCTTCATAGAAAGTGATAGCATGGTAATTAAGCAGCATATTAGTTCAGTAGCTTGCAAACTTTTAAAATCATTTTCCTCTCTTAAAAAAATTACTTACAAATTACATACATGTTTAGAAGTATACACTCTACAAAACATATAGAAAAGTAGGAATTATAAAGAGCTAAAGATCAAATAATGAAATGTCCTGTTAATTGATGCAACTTCATTATTTAATCTAATGTCATAAAATGTACTTAGGTGAGAGGTTCACCACTGAAGATAATGGACATAAATCTGTATGTCAAAAATATTCTCAGTATGTAGAACTTGTGAAGCTAACTTCTTATCATTTAGACAGTGACTGTCTAAACAGGCATTTTCTATGTGACTGTGAAAGAATTAGAGGAGTGCTCATTCTGTCATCTTGATTCTCCTTGCAATATTAGTGCTATCTTCAATCCGTAGGCTATATGTTACAAAAATTTTAAGCTGCTTTTCCATATCATGAAGTTAGTTTAATTAAATCTAGACTACATAATCTATTAATTCACCTTACCGGAAGCAGAAAATGCAAAAAATGAGTGAGGGGGCGGTGAGAGGTGGTAGAGTAGGAAGATCCTGGGCTTGCCTCCTCTCATGGATACTATATATAGAAACTTAACTAGAAAACCCAAAAGACTCCACCAATAAACTATTGGAACTAATAGATGTATTCAGTAAAGTTGCAGGATATAAAATTAATATACAGAAATCTGTTGCATTTCTATATATCAACAATAATCTATCAGAAAAAGTAAGAAAACAATCCCACTTACAGTTGCATCAAAAAGAAGAAAATTTCTAAAAATAAACTTAACCGAGATGGTGAAAGACCTATACTCTGGAATCTATAAGACACTGATGAGAGAAACTAAAGAAGACACAAAGAAATGGAAGGATATACCATCTAACGAAATGGAAGAATTAACACTGTTAAAATGTCCATACCACCCAAAGCAATCTATAGATTCAATGCAATCCCTATCAAAATACCAATGGCATTTTTCATAGAAATGGAACAAATATTCTTAAATTTTGTATGGAACCACAAAAGATCCTGAATAGCCAAAGCAATCTTGAGACAGAAAACAAAGCTGGAGGTATCATGCTCCCTGATTCAAATCTATACTATAAATCTATAGTAATCAAAACAGTATGGTACTGGCACAAAAACAGACACATAGATCAATGGAACAGAGCCCAGAAATAAATCCATGCTTATATGGTCACCTAATCCTTGACAAGAGCAACCAAGAATACACAATAGGGAAAGAACAGCCTGTTCAATAAATGGTGTTGGGAAAAACTGGACAGCACCATGCAGAAGAATCAAACTGGACTATTGTCCCACACCATATACAATAATAAACTCAAAATGGATTAAAGATTTAAATGTAAGACCTGAAACCATAAAACTCCTAGAAGAAAATACAGGCAGTAAACTCTCTGACATCAGTCTTTGTAACATTTTTTTGGATCTGCCTCTTCAGGCAAGAGCAACAAAAGCAAAATTAAACAAATAGGACTATATCAAACAAAAAAGGTTTTGCACAGTGAAGGAAACCATCAACAAAATGAAAAGGCAACCTACTAAATGGGAGAAGATATTTTCAAATGATATATCCCATAAAAAGTTAATATCCAAAATATAAAAAGAACTCATGTATTGAGCTGTAGCTCAATATAAAAAAAAAATCCAATTAAAAAAATCAGCAGAGGATCTGAATAGACATTTTTCTAAAGAAAGCATACAGATGGCCAATAACATGAAAGGATGCTCAACATCACTAATCTTCAGGGAAATTCAAGTCAAAACCACAATGAGATATCACCTCACGCCTGTTAGAACGGCTATCATCAAAAAGACAACAAATAACAAAAGTTGGTGAGTCTGTAGAGAAAAGGAATGGTGGTGCACTGTTGCTGGGAATGTAAACTGGTGCAGCCACAATGGGAAATAGTATGGAGGTTCCTCAAAAAATCAAAGATAGAACTACCATATGATCTAGCAATTCTACTTCTGGGCATTTATATGAAGAAAACAAAAACTCCTATGCTAACTGCAGCATTATTTACAGTAGCCAAGATATGGAAGCAACCTAAGTGTCCATTGATAAATGAGTGTGATGTGTATATATGTATATGTGTGTATATCTATCTATATTTATAAAATGGTATATTAGCCATAAAACGAATGAAGTCTTGACATTTGCAACAACATGGATCTATCTATAGGGTATTATGCTAAGTGGAACTTTGTGCTTCCACTACATGGGGCATGGGTTCGATCCCTGGTCCCTGATCAGGGAACTAAGATCTCACATGTGCACTGCATGACCTTAATATATAAATGAATGAATGAATGAATAAAATCAATATAAAACACAAAGCAAACAAACAAAACAAAACAGAAACAGACTCATAGATACAGAGAAAAAATGGTGGTTGCAAAAGGGGGGTGGGTAGATGGGTGAAATAGGTGAAGGAGATTAAGAGGGGCAAACTTCCAGTTACAAAATAAATAAGGCATTGGGGA